CTGCTCGTTGTATCATACACTCAGAGACTTCATCAGCCTTATCACAGTTACTGGAGATTTACACTGTTCTTACAAAATTAACCTGATCACATCTTCTGTTACTGTAAGCACTGTTGTAACTGCTTCAAAACAACAATCTGATTTAATAAGAGCAGCACTGTGGTCATTTATGGGTCTGCTAGGAAGAACAAGCCCTGCTTTTTTCCTGGCTGGACTGGGTAGGGAATAGCAATTGTATCACAGTATTGCATAAGCAGAGAACAGCAAATCAACATGGCACTGAAGCTGATAGTTTGTGTACATTTAAAAAAAATAACCCCAGCAAATGGGAGGAACACAAATAAGAACATTTTCCCAGGAACTGTTTAGAAGCAAACACCATTGTTGGACAACTTTTCCACCTATATTCAAAATGAATTCACCAGTCTTTTGTTGTCTTCAAAGATGTATGGTTACATGATAAAGAAATAAGCAATCTGTTAAAGATACAAAAGCAGGGGCAGGTTTAGTAGGCTGTTGAACTGAGCTGTGACCAGAGGGGCTTTTGGTACTTGATATGTAAGGGGATTAAGTGTATCTCCTCTGCAGTATTTGTCACACTTTGTATCCAAACAGAAACACCATATGTTTGAGGTAAGTTTTGGTTTTCATCTTTTTCATCCTTCTACTGCTTTAGATTTCTAAATTATGATGTTTCAGACACTAACTTAAAATACAATCTACAGGGTAATATTTGTGGACAGTAATTTTTCACAGCTCATCAAGCCAACTTGCATTATTTTTCAAGGGAAGTACATATATGGAGCATAAGACAGAATTTGATTATTTAATTTGTACTTCTGGCTGGACAAATGTTTATTTTCCTTTGGCTTTGAAGACTAACAAACTTCATTATATGTCTAGATAGTTCTTTTGGCTTATAGTATTTTGGAAACATTAATTCTTTTATTTGGAGTTAAGCATAGAATTTGTCAAAACAATGCTTTTACAAAAAGGTTTATCAAACCCTTCATATAGCTTAGCTGCTCTTTTAATCAGAGATGATATATTTATTTTTTTAATGTTCTTGATACTAAAAGTAAAAGCTGTTCTGTTGTAAATGTGTGACTAAAATTCTTAAGTTAAATTAAGAGTTAGACCATAATAATTTTTCAGTTTTTAGCAGTCTTCTGTTTTGCTTAATTTCACTTAAATTTCACAAGTTCAGTGCAACTGCAAGTGTTGGGCACCTGTGGGAATTCAGGAAAATCTCAAGGTGTTTCTCAATTGTGACCAACATTCTGGCAGTACAGTAAAATCATCTGTCAATTATTTTAAAGGGAAAATAATTCTTAATGATTTTTTACTCTTCTCCTTTGCATTTAAAGAGGATCATTTAAATTTTGTTTGTTTTGTGGGTTTTTTTTGGGGGGGGGGTGTTTGTATTTTTAAATAATTACCAAAATAGCTGCATTTACCATTCTTAATGATACTGTGTTCCATTGGTTAGTGTAAGAGCTCCCTCTATAGGTTTTATTTTAAATCTCAGCTTAGGAAAATGGAAAGGAAATTGAACTTCTTGGCAGTGCTTTATAAACCTATTCAGTTGATCAACGTTACATGATTTTTAAACAGCAGGATTTCTTTATGGAAAGAAAGCCATCTATTTTAGCAATGGTTAAATCATGAGAATGTAACAGATTTATTACAGATTTTATAGAGACTTTTGTTTTTATAAAAAATTATACTTTTAAATGCAGCCTGATAAACTGCATAATTTAAGCTGTGTTTTATGTAGGAGTAACACAACGTTTTCACTTTTGTAACTACGTTTTGTACTGTCAACAATGAGTTGCTGGTCTGTGTCTCCTGGGCAGATGCACAGTGTTAGCTCTCATATAGTCAGCTGCTCATAAACTATTAAATAGCTGTGTTGCAAACACAGTCTAGCACAGCATTGCATAAGATCGTGTTATATGAGGTTTTTCTTGAATAACTTACGTGGTCTTCATAAAAAAATTAGCTGGACTAACTGAGCAGCTGACTTGGGGGATAATATTAGAAGTTACTATTATTGAACTTTCCTTTGTATATAAATATTGATTTGGTATATAACTATTAAATAATATTTAACAATAATTAATAATAAACGTATCATAACAAGCATTCTGAAATTTATGTTTGTACTATTCCCCTCTTCAGCATTTCTCATGGCATGTCATTGTACACACAGAAATAGAAAAATTGATAATACTTTAAAAGAAAATTTTAAGCCCTGTACACAGAATTCAGGGATTACAAAACAAATCTTTGTGGGCATTCATGTCAGAGCATTTGGCTTTCAGAGATGAAAATGAGGCCTATATACATGCATAAAAGCAAGTTGTTTGGTTACAAACTAATGGATTTGTTGTGGTCATTATTACAATTAAACAGTCATTAAATAGTTTGAGAAAATTAGTGAGGGTACTGGGCTGAAAATAATTCTCATTGTATAAACTCTGTATAATATTTTTCTTGGATATCATTGCTGTAAGTCTGGATTTGCGAATGAGAGAAGAATTTTGCCCATAGTCCAGCTAGAAATGTTCTATATTCTTGAGAAAACAAGAATGGGTCAAAACATGCATATTTGTTGATGTTTCTAGTTCTTTCTCTCATGCTGTTCATAAATATAGTTTGCAAATATTGTTAGTAAAAAAAAAACCCACTAGATTTATGACAGCAAAAAAGTCAATTAAAATGCCTATTACTATGCTTTTGAATACTCTTCTGAATTTTTTGTAAATAGGAAGCCAGTAATAAATCTGAATTGGCTCATGAATCAAGTGTCTTATTTATAATTGCCGCCTTCCTTGTCTGCACAATAAAAAATTCTGTCATTAAGAGCAAAAATGTTTTAAAGAAAAGTTTTCACCGTTTTTGCTTCATAGGAATTTAATAGCTGTATAAGGAAAACACTGTTTCCTTACACCTGTGCGCAGATCCTGAAATCTTATTGTCAGTGACAGCTAGAAGGGAACATCATAAATTATAAATAACATTGCAAACAATGTTCCTGTAATAGCCATGTCTTCTGAGAGGGTACAGATCCTGAAATCTTTTTGTCAGTGACAGCTAGAAAGGAACATCGTAAATTATAAATAAACATTGCAAACAATGTTCCTGTAATAGCCATGACTTCTGAGAGGGTCTGAGGGTTTGTAAATATCTGAAATAGTGCAGAGAAAAATAGAAGAGCCATATTTTTATTTTTATGTTTTACCTACGTCTGCTACAAGGAAATTATCTTGTCACAATGTAGTGTCTGTTTCTCTTAGGGATAGACTTATGGTTAAATAATTGTAGTTTTCAGAAAAGCTAGACAGATTCAGCTTGTCTTGCATGAGAAAGAGGAATAGACCTGTATCTCCCAATCAAAAGAGCTCTCATCATTGAGCAGAAAAAGCTAATCATTACCATCTCTGGTGACTTAAATTTTTTGCAGGTTCCACTTTACACAACCACATGTATGGGTAAATCCCCTTTCAGGTGGAATAGACAAGTCAATGGCTTCAGGGCAGAAGAAACCTTGGTCACAGAGAAGTGTTCAGACATCTAGGAAACTTCAGCAGAAACTGATTAGGCCTGTGTGCCTATTGGTGGGGCTTCAGGACTTAGGTATTGCATGAAATAAGCAGTAAGTCTGAAGACCTAAATTTTGGATGTACATCCTATGTATGTAAATATGTATAAAAAGTAAAATATGGAAAGTAAATTGAACTCTGAAGTTTTTTCCTTTAAAGGAAGTAACTATTTGCTCATTGAGAAAAGGGCTACAACATTAAGTGATGCACACATTGTGGGGGGGGGAAGCAGAATTGTGGTTGAACCCTTTTTGTTGTGCACCATAGCTTTATTCTGTGTTTACCATAAGATGCAGAAAGTATCATGCATGATAATTTTTCAACAAATCAAGGCTTCACTTCAGAAGTAGAAAAGTAGATGTGGCTTAAGAGAAATAAAAATATTACAGTCTAGCCAAAAGAAATAAAGCTGCTAGGATAGGCAGGTTTATTACCATGTGATTGGTGTAGCTCCTGTCGTAGTAGACCGCAGCAATTGTAATTTATGCTCCAGTAATTTCCTGCCTCTTTGATGACATCTGCTTTGTAATGGATTGGCAGGTGGAACCAATCGTCCTTTGTCTCTTCCAATTCCAGAATTGTTTCTCTTCAATCTTTAATATGTTTTGGGGTGGGTTTTTTTTGGTTTTTAGCCTAATTTTTTTCTTGTTTAAGCATTGTACTGCTTTCCACTTCTGTGATTCCAGCCTAAAAAAGTGATAAAATCAGACATAAAGATACTTTATGTCTGATTTTACAACCAGGCATGAGAATTAGTTCTTGAAATGGAGGTGTAGGATTTCAGTTTTTGCTTTTAAGATTGTTACTACTTTCCTGAAAACAGTCTCGTGCATCTCATTCTCCTCACAGTGCAATATCGCATCACTACTAATTTAAATATGGGGGAAAACAAGTTCAGGCAGAATGTATAGAACAAGTAGGCTAAAACTGACTTTTTTTCTATTGAGTGTGTCTTCAAAGTAGGGTTGATTATGCTTGATACAGGATTTGTAATCTGAACAGGGACTGTTAAAGCCTAGTAATCTCCTGCATGTTTGTCAAGATCAAGGGCAACTGAAACTGGATGGCAAAAGAAGGCTTCAGTCTCATAGAAAATACTTATCCGAAGCATTTAAAGAGAAGACATCTCAGTCATTTATTTACCCATTTTCTGAAAACATGCAGAGGAGATAATAAGGACATGCAGTCTTACCAAAGATAGCCAAAGTTCAGCTATGTTAAGCTTAGAGTTTTATTGTTCTAATGAATTGTTTGTAAATACTGTTAGGTAGAAAAAGCATAATAGTTCGTGAAGCAGATTCTGACGTGGTTGCTTGCAAAAGTAAGGAAGTGGATTTTATGACCCTCACATTCTTCTAGTCTCATTCCTAACTACATTTTTCTCTTTTATTGCAGCCCAGAAGATGGTGAAATCCATCCTGAAATCTGTAGACTGTATATCCAGTTGCAATGTTGCTTAGAAATGTACACAACAGAAATGCTAAAGTCCATATGTCTGCTAGGATCACTGCAGTTTCATCGGAAAGGTACTGAATTGCACAAATACACAAATGATTGTTTCAGAAAAAGCACAATTTTTGGGGCATGCCCAGATATTCATGAAAGACAAAACACTGTCCTGATTTTGCCTGGGGTGGAGTTAATTTTCTTCATGGTAACCATCATGGAGCAATGTTTTGGATTTGCACTGGAAACCATGTTGATAATATGGGATGTTTTAGTCATTGCTAAGGTCAAGACCCTTTCTGCTCCTCACCCCACCCCACCAGCGTGGGTGCTGAGGGGGCCCAAGGAGCTGTGAGAGGACGCAATCAAGAAAACTGATTCCAGCTGACCCAAGAGATATCCCAGACCATATGGCATCATGCCTAGCATATAAAGAGGGGGAAGATGAAGGAAAGTGAGGATATCAAAGTGATGGCATTTGTTTTCCCAAGTCATCGTGAGGTAGCCTTGTTTTCCTGGGGATGGCTGAACACCTGTCTGCCCATTGGGAGTGGTGAATAAATTCCCTATGTTGCTTTGTTTGCATGCATGGTTTTTGCTTTATTGAAGTGGCTGTACCTCAACCCAGGAGTTTTCTCATTTTCACCTATTAAGTAGTCTCCTTCATCCCACCAGGGGTGAGCAAGCTCTGTGGGCATTCATTGATGTCTGAGGTAAAATCACAACAAGCACCAAACTGTAAAATGAATTATATATATATAATTATATATATATATAACCTATCTATATCTATGTATAGATAGGTTTTCAGTTACTAAAAAGGAGCTCTATTTCTGTTTATGATCATTCTTACAGAAGTGTGTCTTACCAGGTATGTATCACGAATGTATCTATATCTATATCTATATATAGATAGGTTTTCAGTTACCAAAAAGGAGCTCTATTTCTGTTTATGATCATTCTTACAGAAGTGTGTCTTACCAGGTATGTATCACAAATTTCCTTGCCATTTAAAAGTCTGATCCTTTTTAAAAAAGAGTAGCTCCTTAAGTTTTGGGTGTCATTAGTCAGACGAGTGGGCAAACTTAGTAATGTTGTTAGACATACTTGTCGGGCAAGATATGTTATTAATAGTGTTGTTGTTACTATTAGTTTTCTTATCTCGTTGCTCCTTACATCTTACTGCTGGTTATCTCTTACTGGTTCCAGTAAATTGTTCTTATCTTAACCTGTGATCTTCACACTTCGTGCCTCCAGTTCTCAACTCCAGCCTGCCCCAACAGAAAGAGGAGGGGGAGAGGGAGAGGGAGAGTGGCCTGTGGTTTGGAAGAATGTCAGTGATAGCACTAAATTGGGGAGTATCATTCCTAAAACACTACCATAGCAAAAGGTAGATAAATATGGTTCAAAAGATGTCCATCTTTATAAAAGCAAATACTAGACTTGGAACTGGAAGGAGATGTCCTCACTTCCGTGAAAATGCATCTCTCTAATAATTTCATACTTGATTAGCTTCCTACTGAAAGGAAGATGTAGAAAAGCTGACAATTTACTGTATAGTTTACTTAGTAACCTCATAGCTCAGTGATGGCACAGGCTGATTAGGGCTGTATCTGTGCTGATTGTAACTAGTCTTTCCCCAGATAGTATATCATCAATAAAAAACTTGGTAAAGCAACCAAAAGTTTTGTAATGAACTGTAATAAAGATCTTGTAATAAACCTGTTGAATTTCCTGTCATGCTAAAAGGTCCTGTAGCATACTTTTCATATCTACCTGTAGAGTACTGCTAAAGCGAAGGATATTTTTTGAAAGTAAGAATGAGAGATTTGTAAATGCTTAACTGTGGTTCTCAATTATTTTTTCAAATCAAAAATAAATCTATAAAATAGGAAGAGAGAGAATTAGCAGAGCCATTGTAGAATAAGATAATAGTAGCTGTTGAAATGAGTCATCATTTTTAAGACAGATTTTACTGCATTTCCTAGCATTGGCAACAGTTGTCAAACCATCTGCTGAACTGCTGAAAGTAAATAGCTTAAAGTGACCTTAGCAACTCTGAAATGTCTTGTCTCTCCCTTTTGCTTCGGGATGGAATCTACATTAATAACTTAAACTAAACATTGAACTATTCAATGTCTAAAGTTGGAGTTACGCCTTAGTTCCTGCCTTGCAGTACTTTGATAGACATCAGTTTCTCAACTCACCACAGAGACCATCATGGTAGTTATTCTGTCCTTACCAAATAGTGATTTTTGTCCTTGCCAAACAGAGTGTTTTAGAGATAAACACAGTAACTTGGCTCTGAGCTTCTGTGATAGTCTTTGAAAAAAATACATAGTAGGCAAAAAACTATATGACGACAAGGATTCAAATAATTTGAATATCCAAGAGACAACAGATTTTTTGTATTAAATATTTAGTATTGGCAACACCTAGAAGTATTGCCATTGCATCATGCAGTGGTGGAAATTCCAGTCCTGTGTTAATTGTTTTTTTACCATGAAGGTAGCTGCATGCTAGACAGGCACCCAAAGGGGCGGCGAAATACCTGTTCTTGGAGATAATGATAACTCAGATAGTCTTGACCAGTCTGATGCACATTGGCCCAGCTTTCAGTGGGATGTTACACTAGATGACTTTGCAACTTATTTGTTCTGTGTTCTGACAAAACATACTGTTTTCAAAGGAGCATTCTGAACCCATACTTTTCATTGATTTCTTTACTTACAGAGAATACTTTATTGTAGGTGAAGTGCACAAATTTATCTCTAGAAAGGAAAGAAACAATAACTTCACCATTATATATGGTGAAGTACATATATTGTGATGCTGCTGTATATAGGTTTTTTATTTCTCAACTTGTTTAGTTTTACACAGATCTTTCACCATCTGAGTGACCATATTAAAAAAAAGTTTCTTGTGCACAAAGAGTACTGCTCTGTCTTTGATTAGCCTGTAAGTTTGCATGTCTGATGTTCTTGTTGTGTCTTGAAGCTAATTTCTGTGGGTAATATTTTCCATTTGGATGTATTATTTCCCTTCTTTAGCTCTCTTACCTGCCAATTTGTATGTTAGGTTTTTAAATGTCCCATGAGATTTCACCAGTTAATGTTCTTACTCAGGAGGCAGCAGAGATTCAAATAGAATGACAGGCAGACTGTTCTTGGCAATGTGTGGCTTATAAATAATAATGTAGGTATTGGTACCTTGATCAGAATTTATCAAACAAGCTATAGAACTGATAAAACTAAGGCAGTGTGCTGATGCTGATGTTTTCCTAAGAAAAACTCAGCCAGCAGGAAGGAGATGTCCTACTAAGAAAGACATTCTCTTAAGGAAGCACCACACAAAAATTTGAAGGTCTGAGCTGTGGGTCTTTTGACTGCCTTTCACGGCACACATCTTCTCATTATCTCCTTATCTTTCTTTTCCACAGAACCAATATTCCTTTATTTACTGTATATATATCAATCTTCCTGTACAGAAATTTCTTGCATGTTTACAGTGTTTTAGAATAAATTACTCTGTTATAGAACCACTGCTAGAAAAATCAGATAGTGTGTTATTTCTTTGCGATGTAATGACTACAGTGGGGCCGAAAGCCATAAATATTTGCAGCTGTGTTATGCAGTAAGTAAACTGAGGTAAGTGCTCTTCAATATTTTTTTTGTAAGATACATACACTACAAAAGCCAAGTGTTGAGAATATATAATGATTAAACAGTTCAGCATTCAGAAAGTTTGCAGAGGGCACAAGGAATCATGCCTAAGTATCTTTAATTCAAGTGTTTTGTAGTTACTAAGTCTTTGGCTACTTGATCCTTTATTCTGTTTCTCCTTCTTTCCATAATCCCAGGAGTTCTGGCTAACTAGTACGCATATAAATTACTTGGGCATACATCTTTCTTTTATCCTAGTTTTTTAGTGACATATATTTTATTTATTGCACACCATGAAAAAAAAATAACAGTTATTGAGATATGTGAGTCCCACCTGACATGTATAACACAGGTGAAGGCAGAATGATACCAGCACTAACCAAAGTGATAGGTACCTTTATAGTCATGCAAAAAAGGCAAGAATTTGGTCTACAGGAAAATCAAGCATGCATACTACTTACTTGTGTTTCATGTAAGAAATTCATATGGTTAATTATTTTATTTCCAGTGTGTGTTTTGTGATTACAATATGTATTTCCTTAAAACAGTACCTAAAAGTCATAGCTTATGTTACAAACTACAAAAATAAACCCTTGGTTCAGTGGAGAGATTTTTTTGCTTTTTGGCTTTGTTTAAATGACATGCTTTTTAGAGTTTTGAAGGGGAAAGGAAGGATTATTTAATGCTTGTGCTACAATCTCAGTGTCCTATTTAAAGACTGGTAGATATGTGTTATTACTTACACATATCACTTATGCAAGAGGGATAAGATGCAAGAGTGTAGAAGAGCACACAGGTATGGAGAAACAAAATCAAGAGACTCACCCATTTCTACATGCCCACTATGAAGAAGCAAAGAAATGGGACAAGAAAAGCCATGGAAGGAGGGTAACACAACTTTCATAAAATTAACACTATAAAATCATTGTTCCTATTGCATTTTCTTTAATAATAGTATTTCTAGTGACACAGTGTCCAAGTTCTGCAACTCCTGAGTGTAAATAAAGAATTAAATTCCTCAGGCTGTTAGCCATATTTGTCCAATACCTTTTTTACTTCCTGCACAGTACTTTCCTATTCCCCTTTCTAGGTTTTCGTGCTCGTGTACTTTAGCTGGGATATATAGCTTGTGCTTTTATCCTTAATTTCCAGGTTAGAAACCTGACGTAAACACTGCTCTCTTTTTGAGAAAAGGATTCTCTCAGCTTTGCAAGTCTAGTATTCCACTCAGAGATCTTTAGTTCCTCTGCAGTGAAATAAAACTAGCACTGAGGAGCTTTTTTTTTTCTTTCTTTTTTTTCATTCATCACAGTTTCTGTGTGAATTAGGTGATGACTAAGAGTAAGGTGTCTAGGGTTGCATGAAGGAAGCAAATACGGAGATCACCACAGAAGTAATAAGGGGCACAACAGGTGAGATACATAAAACCAGATGATGTATCTAACCTTACTGAACTGACAATTTTCTGCCCTCTTATTTATCCTCAAGTTTGATCCTTGGTGTTATTTAACTAAATTTATTTGATTTCATATCAAAAGCATTTTCTGCTTCTTACAATAAAACCAAATTACCGATGAGAAAAGAAAGAATACATCATTGCAACTAAAATTATTAAAAATCTTTCCACTGACTATGTTGAAAGTTAAATTAAGGGTTCATATCCATCTTTAAAGTATCGATGACAGAAGATATCCTTACCAGTGACTGTAAGGATGAAAAGATTTAGAAGCTTTTGTTTCCCTATAGGCTGTGACCATGGTAGAAATGTTAAGCCTGAGTCATACATTATTCAAGCAAAGCCTTTATTATTAGCTGACTATTTAACTGCTTTCAAGAGACTGAGCAAATTATCTGAAATTCAAGAAAGGCTTCATGAATTGCTCACAATACAGCAGAATTACTGGTAAAGCTCTTTCCAGGTGAAAAGAGATGTGTGTCATTCTGCCAGATCTGCAAGAGTTTGTCTTTGTGCTGATGAAAGGAACATTACAGTCTCTGCTTCAGTTCTCAAACTGAGAAAAAGAACCTTTACTATTATTTCATCCAGTGCTGTTACTGTTTCCATTGAAACAACTTTCACATCCCTGAAGGATGCATCTCTACAGCATGTCACCAAAGGTTAGGTCAGGGTTCCACCATAACACTTAAAAATAATGGAACAATCCACTAATACCCTGTTTCATCAGTAATGCCTTGTGATATCAGTGGCACGTTAGATGGTTTACCTGAAATCTTTTTAGTGAAAATGTAATATGTGAGATTTTGCTAACATTATGTTTTGTTATGGACTTCTTGTGATGGGAAAAAATAATGAAGTGTATATGACTGAACAATGAAAACTGTACCATATTAATCACTTTTAAATAACAGCCTAAACTGCATTTAAGGACAAGAAAAATGTGAAAGTTAAACCTTCAGAGTGATACAGAGTATAAAACATGTAAACTGTGAAGCAGGCTTAATCTGCTATTCCACAAGCAATTGAGTAATCTTTCAGCATAACAGTTTGTAACCAACAGAAAGGTTTTGTCTCTTTGTCTCTCCTCCCGTATAATGCCTTCATCTCTTCTTCATTTCCACTGCTTTTGGAAAAGGAGTAATATGATCCTCCTTCTCTGGAACTTGCTCCTGGACATGTAGGGTTTTTGACTGACCTTACTTCATTAGAAAACATCACATTTTATTTTTTAGTTTGCTGGGGTAATCTCATTTCAATGGCTATAGTGGATCACAGAAGGATTTGACAAAGCACAAGTTAGCAGTGGATGCTAGTTAGCAGCAAAGAAAGGACACAGGAGATTCTTTCATGGACGCTAAATTTGTTATGGTCATGTCATGCACTCTTTAGGATTCATTTAGGCAACTGTGGAATTCCTACTGGCTTTGAAGAGCATTAAAACATAAGTATCTTCTGTAGCATAAGCAACATCTAGTTTGAGACAAGTAGCTAAGAATAACTTTTTTTCTTTCTTCAAGGAAATACTTTACTACAATGCAACTATTTAGATAACTTACCCAAAAATACTATCTTATGATCCAGAAAATTCTATATTTTAAAAAACAAGGTTACTTGCCTGATAATAGGGATATGGATTTGTGATGTGGAAGAGCAGTATATCATGGTGTGCAGTTTTGGTCTCTAGTGTCCAAGAAAAATGGCCTGAATGACCACTGCTCTATTAGCTGGTCTTGTTCTTCATGTACTTTGTGAAACCTTACAGGAACTACTCAGATTTGTACTGATGTCAAAACTTTTCCAATTGCAAAAATTGCGAAATGGAAAAAACATTTCCTACTCAACTTTTTGTACTACTGGTTTAAATGTTGACGGTTGTCTGGGATGCACTCCGGTGTGAATTTTCTTCTGTGTTTGCTGCCAGAATTGTACTTCCCACTACAGAAAAGCAATGCTGTCACGTAGTCCAAATGAGATTTGCAGGTTTACCAAAATATTCTTCCAATGGTTAACTCTCTTGAATGCTCCGTTATCATGATCCAATCCTTTATCCCATTCTCTTCCTCACAAAAACCCTGGAAGATCTGTCAGGAAGCTTCCCCTTCACTTTCAACACTATATTTGATTTTCATACAGGGAGCATGAATTAGGTAAGTATCAACACAGAAGTTCAGAATGTAATGCATTTGGGCTGTGCGTGGTGACAGCTTTATATTGCTGTTAAATCATAAAGTAAAAAATTGCACATTTTTGTCTTTGGTTTTCCCTCAGTATTGCTGTAGTACTCAGAGACATGGACTGCAGTGTTCTTTAGTGTCAGCATTTTGAAATTGTTTCCAGAATGTGTGTTGTAGTTTCCTCACTTATTTTGTTCTGTTTTGTTTTCCGGCTGTTATTTTGTGTTCCATGAGACCAATGGAGTTTAATTGAACCCTTTTAAATTGGTAAGAGTAACATATGGCAGCACCCTGATTTCTAGCTTGGCATGGTCTGCTCTGCTTCTGAACAGTTCTTACTCAGAGTTTGCATCTAAGCAGTCTTTTTCTCCATTTGTATTGTGCAAAGTCAAGTTCAAAGCATCAATTAGATAATTTAAACATCTGTTTTAATCAGTAAATAATAGGGATACATGTTTTGTTTTAATATTTTAAAGGGAAAGAACCTTGTGGCCCACCCAAGATCTTAGATTCTAAAGTGGAGGAGAGTTCTGAAGTACCTATTTTAGAAGACACATCATTATCACCAACAGATATTCAACAGCATCTATGGCAGGTTTCCACAGATATTGAAAACACTGAAAGGTATGTGTAGTACTTCATTCCTAAACAAACAAATTTCTTTCTAGGATTTATGTAGTCTTTTTTAATTTGACAGCCAGTGTTGCTACTATGAAAATTATAAGAAAATGAAATCACCTGTTAATTTCTCTGATACATTTAACAGTTTCTGACTTTGTGATACGCCTGAAATATGCCAGACTCCAGTTATTCATTTCAAAATCAAAAACACAGAATCTAATTAATTTCAGTTAGTTCTGCCCATAGTTTTAAATCTGGAAGTTGTAGGAGGGGAGAGGATGTTGTAGCGTCATTATCTTACTCGCTTAACTAATGCAGTTGAAAGACAAAAATGAGACCCTTTACTAGAAAGTAATCCTGATGGCCAACATTCCTTTGCAAAAAGTCCTATTTTGAGGCCTTGTACACTAAGTTGCAGTTGAGATTTGAATTGTTAACATGCTCATTTGCATAAAGCCAAGTTCTGTTCTTCTGGGGTATAGTGTGGAGAATAAACTGCACATTTTTTTAGTAATCATGCTGCTGCATTTCTGAGAACCATTTTATGTGCAGAAGAATGAAGCAAGACCATATTGAATTTAAATCCTGAAGGCTTTAAGACATTACAAGCCTGTAGGTCTGCCATGTATGTGCAAAACAGAAATTATTTGGAAATTTCTGGCCTCTTTCAAAACATATCAAAATGTGATTTGCTTTTGGAGATGATGTGTTGGTATCGTATTTTCCATCATCTGCCTTTCAGAAAATTTAATTCCAGAATCCTCTCAAGGCAGGTGAGAATGATAGTCCTGTTCCTAAAATTTTCATTTAATGTGGAGTGTTAAGTATTAAGGGTTAGTTGCATATGTTATAATTTTCTTCAGAACAGTGAAACACATTCATAGCACAAGCTACAAAATACTGATAAGGGGTATGAAGATATTAGTACTTATGATTAGTAATTATGGATTAGTCCTAGCTAATATTAATTTTAAGACATATTGTGCATTTTGCCACTAGGAATCACATTTTGCCACTAGGATCACATTGTGCCCCCAGAGGCTTTTAATATGAAAATACTCAAGTGCCAGAATAAGTCATAAACTTGAATCAGGAAAAGTTAGTATCAGACTTTCATAAAAGTGCTCCCCTATTAATTTTATTGCTCTTTCTTTTGGTATGCATCTTTTCATACATGTATGTGAACCAAATGCTTGCTCAATAGATTTTTGTATTTATTGCTCCATTGTTTCTGCATATAAAGCTATACTGTGAGTCACACCCCATACAGTCTCAAGTTGTTGTTCCATTGTATCTTTTTAAACTGTTGTATCCACAGAGATATGAGAGAAATGAAAAACCTTTTAAGTAAACTCAGGGAGACTATGCCTTTACCACTGAAAAATCAAGGTAAGTTTTGAATTTTCTTTGTTTAACAAAAATAAAGATAATTGAAAGGTTCTCCTTTCAATTATGTACAAAAAATGTTATATGAAAAAATCTAGAGTCCTTTTTATGGAAACTACAAAAAGGAAGATCTAGGCAAAAATCTCTTCCCTGCTGATTCAGTGGCGCCAGAATCTAGTACATGAGCTTCGTCCTCTTGAGTTTCACATGAGTTATTCTGGAATTTATAGATACAGGATCTATAGATAAAATAATAGCCTTTTCCTGGTGATACAAAGGCAGGAGCAGAACTACTTCCCAGTGTCTGGAATCCTTCTTTCTCAAAGGCAGTGACTGTGCTGGAAATAAGGAAGGGAAAGACAAACTGGGGGGATATAATGCATAGAGAAACTGGAATTCAGAACAGAGATAAAGGCATACAGAATTCTTCTTTGTTGCTTGGTGTCTACACTGCCCTGCAACAATAACCAGAAAATCACTGACTCTCGATGCAGCAGGATAGGAAGCATCCCAGGGTTTTAAAACTCATAGATATGCCCCAGGATTATTATCTTAATGGTAATCATCATTATTATTAAGATCCTGTTAATTAGTATTGTAAGACTCTCAAATGCAAAATTCAGGTTATTATTTTCTCTCTGCTCTGTGGGATCTACCACATCACAGAAAGGGTTGTCAAGCATTGGAATGAATGCCCAGGGAGGTGGAGGTGTTCAATAAAGGCCTGGACCTGGCACTTAGTGCCATGATGTGGTGCTGATCAGTTATAGGCTGGACTCAATCTCAGACACATAAATGATTCTGTGATCGCATAGGTGCTGCTAGGACACATAAATTATATAATCTCTTTTCTGTGCATATGTGGACATGCTTGTGTTAAAACGTGGGATTTTTCATCACAGATGATAGCAGCCTCCTAAACTTGACTCCCTATCCACTGGTAAGAAGACGGAAGCGAAGATTCTTTGGATTGTGTTGTCTTGTCTCAAGTTAAAAGATTAGGCACAGAAGCACCAAGGAAATCATCACTTTGATTAAACCACTATTATTTGACCACTGAAAAGATGAAAGTGGCTAATCTTGATTATAAAATATATTTTCTACACTAGGCTATTCATTTCTGTCTTCTGTTCCATCCCCCTTTTCAAATAAGGGTTTTAATACTTTCAAATTATGGTGGTCAAAAAATGGCTGTGGAATAATCTAGCATATTTAAAACTTTTTAAAGTATGTTTTGCATGCTTACTTTCAATCACTCAAAGAAGACACATGAATTAAGATTCATTTATAATTTTAGAGGGTTTTTTTAATTGTTTGAGCTGCAGCTAAAAGTTTGTGTGTAGTACAGTACTCTTACTAGTATCATATTAACTCTACCAGTCTTTAAGCATAGGAGAAAAACATCTGATCATTCTCTCACAGTCTTTAAGCATAGGAAACTATTTAAGAGCAAAACTATTAAAGTTCTAAGACATTCAAACAATATTGTAACAGAATTTGTTACAATTTGTTTATTGTCTCCAGTTGCTTTTTGTGCTCTCATTCATATTTAGTCTTCCACTGTATCTCAACTTCAAAGCTTTATAGAAAAATATCTTAATTTATGATAAAAAACCATATATGAAAATAGGTAGGACTTGTAAATACAGAGAAATCATAATATCTATAAACTGTACAATGTTTAGAAGCAACAAATTTCCTTTTCAGGCAATAGTATATCTACAAGCTTTTGGAAAAAAGATATAATTTATTAAAAGAAGGTGTATTAAAATAAACAATGTAAACCATGACGCCAACCCATTTTGTTGCCAGTAGAATTCAAAGCATGGTATCTGCATATCAAGTATTGATCTTATAAGGCATGCCAAAATTATCTCAGACTGTAAGATACTAAACGTTTTACATTGTTAATAAAGTTTTTTATTTAAATTAAATGTTGTCTTTTTTCTAGTTGTATTGCCAGACTGTATTTTATTCTAATTTTGTTGTCAGAGTACTAGACAAATATGTGACCATATTTCCATTTCAACAAGAATATTTACAAAGACAGATTAAAAAAATATGCATGATTAAATTCTTTAAATAGCACAAAAAAGGTAACTCCAATGTGTTTGAAGATTTCAGGTCATGAACTATTCTTAGGCATATATATTCCTAAGCATCTGAAATGGGGAGATTCCTACACACACAAAACTGCGTATTTGTGAGAGTAAACAACATTTTTAAGAAGAATGGAATCAAAGCCCACAGCACAATGTTTTTTCTGAGTTAATTCTTTAAAGTTTTCTGCACATTTCTCATTAACCTTGTGCTCACTAATCAGAGCTGTTGTCCGTAGTATTCAGCACTGACATGTTTTCATGAGAAGTGTCAAAGGAATAGACTCACTCTGTGATTCCATTGCCACAGATACACTAGATTTTGCAACTGTTAAAACTTCTGAAAAACAACTCCTGGTGTCTAATAGCTATCAAAAATACTGTCTGCAGAACTGATCAGTAGTTACAATTAACCAATTAATTTTTGTTCAGAGTAAGTGAAAAAGAAAGACATTCATGCCAAAAAAAGTGTATGAATTCAAGACTGAAAGTACAGTGATGCCATGAGAAAGAAAGGGGGAAAGAAAATTTCACACAAGATTTCTTTAAAAATCCTGGGTTTTTTTGGTACACACAGAGAATCATGGACAGATAAAGCAGTGACCTTGTCTAATTCATTACCTGCCCACATATCATCACAAGGAATTTCATATGCCAAGTTACATGACAGCTCATATCTCTTTGTTTTAACCACAGCTATTGCAATGGTATATGCATTAGTGAGACAAATGTATAAACATCTTAATATTACCAAGCTCTTGCCATCAGTCATATCACAGTGAGTTCCCTAACTTCATCACATTCTGTGATAGACTTGAACATATTGTCTTCAAAGCCCTTTGAGATTGCAGTATATTGAAGTGTGCAGTAATACGTGTCCTTGTACCTTTTGTTATTCTGGAAATTTTAGCAGTGTTTCTTCTCAGCTAAAGACTACTAAAATTGCAGTCTTTGTTTTGAAGCCTTTCTATAATCCTAAACAATCCAGCATTTTACCTGAAGCCTTTTGTATTGCTGCTAATCCTAACTGGAGACATGCTGTAATTCCCAAGCGTTATGGCCACTTAAGGAATATTGGTGCTCAAAGGTGAATATAAGTTCTCTTAACAGACAGTGACATGAACCAAGTCCTGGTAAGTATCTGAACTGGTGTCAAGGGATAAGAATTGGTTTACTTAGGAACGCAGTGGATTATCTTTTCCTACTTCAAAAGGATACAAGAAAACTTTTTAAGCCCCAAAACATGATGTCAGTAAAAGAACTATAAAAGTTAATGATATTACTACATTTTAGTTTAATGGAATACAGCAAGGTAGGATCAAAGTTTAAAAGTTCCCTCAAGGAAATTATATACAAATTATTTAGAGATTATTTAGAACTATTTACTTTCCAAGTACTTTGAAATACTTCACAATAAACTCCTCAATGTGTGGAAACAACCAATTCAGGAAAAATACTGAGGAAAGCAGCACCTGATTTCTAAATCCTTGGAGTTTGAACATTTTATTTGGAAGTTTTATGAGTTGAAGGCACCATAATTGTTTTGCAGGATAGGAAGCAAGTAAAAATTCCTGTTTCCACCAAATATGTCAAGTTTCACCAAATCTTTTTTTTTTTTTTACTAAAACTTTGTGCAGCTCAAGCTTTTCAAATTCTTTATGGCCACCTTCCACTGGTAGCACACATTTTTTCACAGATATTTCATGTGAAAAAAATACCTTTTTATGTGAAAAAAATATTTCATGTGTCATAAATTAACAATCTAAGAAATCAAGTATCTATGTACACTGTAAAGTCTACATTTTTCAGAATAGAATCAAAATATAAGCTTACAGCAGTAGAGAGCACACTAACACATGCAGTAGTTTGCATGGTAACTTACCCAAAATGAGAACTTACCATGCAAAATTTGTATGTTAATTTACATAATAGGTCCTTGTATATCCAATACAACTCAGGAAGTCTGTGTCAGAGAATGGGAGAAATACAATAACCAACTTCTATCCCAAAAGGAATAAATATACAGCGGTTCATTAAATGCCTATTGGTCTCACATCCGCGTAATGGTGAAATTCCTTATTACCTCTGTAAGAGATATCATACCTATTGTCCAGCTTCATGGGAAGAGGCAAAAGAAGCTAAAGATACATTGTTTCTGCTTGTACTTAGTCATAAGTGACTCCAGTCAATGAGGAGACTTGTAACATAATTTTGGGAACTTTGTGGTCCTGTTTAAGTTCTAGGACCTTGAAGGCCCTGACTGACATGCAGGAAAACTTATCCTTTACCAGCACAACCAAACTTTTCTGCTTCAAAAAGAACTGAGCTGGGCTAAATACAGATGGGCAGGACATATTTTCTAGGGATCATGGTGTGGCAAAAGCTATAATAATGACTGTTAACTACAGCTGACTAATTCATCTCAAATCCAAAACTATTTTCCCAGAGATTCTGTTTTCTGGTAGCAGTTTTACAAAAATAGCCCCTGCATGTTTGAAGAGATATATGTTTATTCTTTAAATGGTGGTTGTATCCTCTAATGTGGTGTTCAGTTTTGTTCAACTTAGGCTGTTCCCAGCATATGCATAATCTGCTGTCCAGATCTAGTCTCATGTTGCTGGTTTTAGACATTTTTCAGCCTGAACTGACTTGGCTTTGAACTACCAGTTTCCATGTCACTAGTACTTTGAGCCTTTTCCTTATTTTGTGTCATCTGTAAAATTTCTTGAAGTGCTATTTCTCTCATTTCCATTTCTTAAAAGTGTATTAAGTACCAGTAGTAATGGGAATTCTGGTGTCCAAGAGAGCACCTGTTTCTATTTGTCTATTTGTTGCTGTCTAATGCAAGCATATCTTAATTTGACCCATTATATGTACTCAGGTCCCTCTTCCAGAAGTTATTTCTAGCTCTTCTGGGACTGCAGTTTTTTGACAAAACAAAGTTTGTGCCAATTTTCAGCCTAAATCTACTCCTGGATAATTAATATACAATATGTTTCTTACAGGTCAACTTTATTCTTTGTTAAAATTCTCTGATGATCAAAATTCTGCCAGGATATTTTATAAACTATCATACTAGGTGTTAAAGCCTCAGGAAAATACACAGTACAGACAAATAAGGATTAATCACTCCTTCACAGTATACTTCCTCAATGAGACAAATATTTAGCTTACACAGAAAACTAAACCACATCTTGAGTACATCTTGCTGAAGTTTAAATGAACTCTACTAAACAGCTTTTTTCAGACTTCTCTCCTTTATTGCTATTATTTAAACTACAACGTTTCTTTTCTAGATAAACCTTTTCTTCTGGTCTTCTTTGTCATATAATTTTTCCTTTTCTTCCCCCCCAATCTCTTTCTTTATTCTTGTACCTCTTTTGTTTCCTGCTACCACCACCTCATTTTGTGTTCTTCTTTATTACCTGAATTTATCTTCACAGATTGTTATACTAGAATTTCTTGTGAACAGTGTAAATGTGCTGGCATTTTTATTACAGAAGCATTTTTCATATATTTTTCTCTAGTCACCCTTGTTATTACTTATTGTGATTTGCATCTTAGAATTTCTGTTAGTATCTTTCTCAGGTACTACTGCTGTGAGGCAGAGGCTTTCTAGTAAGAGGCACCAAGGGTGTGTTTGCCCAAGAGAGTCTGTGATGTGTGATAATTGTCACCAGGTAAGATAGGTTGGCTGCCCAGGACATGGCAATGTCAGTAAAACCTTTTAGCAGCTTCACCACTGGCTCTACTGTGGAGACTTCAGAGCACAACTAAATCATCAGTTGAGCGAAAAAGTTTGGCATGTGTGACATTCTGTTTTGCATACAAAGAGATTGTGTCCTTTTCTGACTGGGGAGAGACGATGTGAGGAATTGCAAAAGATGATCTTCTAAAAATACATCCCAGGAGTTCCTAGAACTGATTGTGACATGAAACAGATAACAAGCACCATGTCAGATTCATTACTCATGATACTTTTTAGAGGAGCCTGCAGCTATGACATTCTTTCCTGTTGTCTACTACAAAAGCACTGAGTAAATACAGAGTTCAATATGCATTATCTTAGCGGCTTTCAGATCTTTAAAGAACACGCCCATAAATGTTACTTAGTCCATTCCAAGTTCACAGCTAGATGCTGCAATTTTTCTCTATCCGTAATTGTGTTCTTGCAATTCTGAGCTATGATTCTTCACTATGACTTATTTTTGAAAGAAAAAAGCCAAAACCTTCCAGTTATAAAGCTGCATAATACTGCATCACAAAGAATTTAGTTTTCTTTTTGTTCTACCACTTGGATACTTATGGCTAAGACTTTTGTTTGTCCATCATTTATGCTCCCTTGCAGTGTGCACAAAAACTAACACATACCATTGAAGAGAATACAACAGAGGAAGTATCTGACTAAACTGCAGGAAGTACTCAGAAAAGAGTTACGTAAACAACAGAAGTTGACACTACCAAATGACAAAATCTTTAAAATAATATTCATACAAATTTCAATGGTAGTAGAGCTTATAGTGGTAACACCATTGCCTTTTTGCCCAACCTGGAAATTAAACTTGAGATCATTTTAGTAAGTTGGTAATACAAAAGAAGATTTTTATTTGTAGGCCTTCAGGACCAGTTATGGAAAGATGTTCACAAAAGCCTACCCCACCCTCCCCAGGGGTGAGTACATTTTTATAGGTTTTAGGTATAATTGATAAAAAGCACCAATTAGGAGGACAAGTGGTGATGCAATTTCCTTTGGCTATTTGTGAAACAAGAGTTGTTCCAGGCCTTGGTGCATTTTACAGCACAGTTTGTTTCCCAGCTTAGCACCTCAATTGCCA